GCTAAGAGTTATTCATATTTACAATCCTCGCTGTTTATAAAGCACTGAAAAAGTATTTGGCTGAAAATAATGTACAGAACCAGTCAAAAGTAATTAAAAAAGGCTTTTTTCAAAGAGCCTTTTAAGTGACGTTCTGGCTTTCGTGAGTCACCTTCAGCCAGATGAGTTTGAGGTTTTCCACCAAAGACTTTCTGAATAGTTTCTGTTTTGGCAGTGGGAGTCATCTGCATGACATTTAATCTTCTGTACTGCCAAACTTCCTCGCTGAGGACTAAACTCCAATATCCGCTCACCGAGTGCCGGTCTGTCTGACCTGACCATCGATCGTGCTCATGAGCCAGTGTTGCTTCTCAGCTCGACTATAAATACACTGCCTGGTGGGGTGCACGCATCTGCATGTAGTGTAGACTTCACAACTGATCGGTAACCAAGAACGTACATAGTCGTCAAGACAAAGTTCAGATGCTAAGACAGCAAAAAGAAGCTAGACAAGAAGATCACAGCAGTGTACTAGCAATTAAAAAAAAAAAAAGACCTCACTTATTGATTTCTTTTACTTGTTCCATTATTAAATACACAACACTAAAATAAAGCCCGGGCCCGAAACATCAAAACAAGAGATCAGAGACATTATTCAACATTAACGGACAAACCTTTAATATGTTGAGTCTCTTTTGTGTAGAGAGTTCATGACATTTTCACCAAGTCTGAAATATTAACCGACCAAACATACTGTTTGTATGTTAGTGTGTTTTTTCTAGAAATAGTTCTCAATGTTGCAGAGGATAATGATCACTGTTGTTGCTGAAAGAACATCAAGTCCTGTCTTTAAAAAATCTAAATCTGAAAGTTCCTCATCAAAGGACAGCGTGGCAAAGCCTCTGTGAAAAGATAAGATAAACAAAAGAAAGGTAGAGGGAAGACCATGTTCAGAAGCCTCTGGGTCATGTATTCAATCCCAAGAGGTGGCAGTGAGGTTTACGAAAAGGCCTGATGAGTGGTGAAGGACCTGGTGCAGCCCAGAAACAACCCATCTTTCCTGGGATAAATGAGGACCTGTCAGCTCCAGGGTGCTCATGCTCTACTGGCCAAGGATGCTAAGAGGATGACACATAGTTAGGGGGTGAAGGTGATGGGAAGTGGAAGGAAGGAGTTTACGACTTTTCATCAAAGAAAGTGACAATAAAATCAAACCACATTTACTGAGGTGTGGAAAGGGGATGTGTTGCCTACCCGGCCACCTACGGCAGTGCAGCAGCATAACGGTGCAGCTCTGGAAATTTCTCACTTTTGAGTGACAGGACAATCAGGATCTGACATATTTCTGAGAGGAGATTGTAATGATCAGCTAACAATAAGCGAATACTCTTCGAGGTCCGTTAGAGGGAGGCCTGACAGATCATCCAGCTAACTTGTTGTGGCATTTAACTTTCACCAAAACCTTTTGGAACCAGCCAGCCTGACCTATAAGGCCTAAAAAATGCTATGAAATGCTTCTAATGGTACTTCACTGGCAACAACTGACTATTCTTTAGTTTTCATATCAACTTTGTGCAACTGACTGGCTTCTGAAGTTGTCGGCCCCTGAAAAGATCCCCACAGGTAAGTCCTTGTGACAAACTGAGGTAGCAGAAACAACAGAGAGCATCTCAGAGACAAGCAAAGAGAAGGACAAATACATGCTTGTAGATGCTCTCACATGGATACAAATGAGAGCAAGGCATAGAAAGAGTTGGACAAATATTTTGTACAATCATGTCTTGTGTCAATAGCATTTCCTTTGAAAACGCACCGGACAAAGCCTGAAGAATCAACATTAGAACAGCTGGTATTTTTTTCAACAAGATGGCATCAGTTCTGCTAAATTTTTCAAACTCAGCCCGCAACCTCCATGCTCGTTGTGCAAATGCAGTAGATATACCAGTGTTAGCAGAGCTGGATTTGAGTTCAGACAGAGCAACAAAGACCAGTGCAGCCCATCCAGCTAGCTCTAAAAGGCCAGACACACCTCCACAAGGTAAAAATGCTGCAAGATTGTCATGGCAACACCCAAGGGCACCTCATGAAATTACCACAGAGCTTTTTGACCAGATTTCCTTCACACAGCCCTGGCTTTTATGTTCAAAATTTCCTTTTTCAATCTGCACATCAGGTCTGATATTTTGTCCCTAACAATTGCCTTCTCTCTCTAAGTGGAGATTCAGATCGACCGCTGCAATGTTTTATTGCAGACGCTATGTGCCCAACGTTCGTTTGTGAGGTAATTTCAGCTTTGTTCCATTAAAAGCCTGTTTAACTGGTATGGGGGAGGGGTTGGGGACCTTTAGCAGACCTTTTATTTTTCTGTACTTTACTAAGATTTCATCCTTGCACTCCCATCCACCTCCTCAGAACGCCATGTCTATCTGGCGGTCTGTCATCTGTAACAAGGCTTTCTGACAAAGCGGGGGGGTGAGACGCATGCCAGCACTGCAGGCCAGTATGAGAAAACATTTGCCTGTGACTCTTTCACAGTGCAACATCAACAGAGGGGCCTGGGAATTTAAGCAGACAAATTTGACCTGAATCTCACATGACATTTTGCTTCGACAGAAGAATGTTGTTTTTGAAGCAGCTGCTCTGTGATTTCACTCGGGTGGTTAGATTATACGTGATTAAGAAACCAACTCTTAACAATTAGATTTGAGATTGTGATTAGAGTCTTCAAAAGGCACTCTTGATTCCACTGATTGAAGAACAACAATATATATAATCACTTATTCCTGGTGGCTAAATCAGATTGAATGTGAGTAAAAAGTTGTGGTCCATGTAGTAAATTGTTGATCCAGGATGTGATTTTGGAAATCAAAAGCTTTGAATAATGCCAGGAAAAAAAACAGGCTGCAATTAGCAAGTGAAGAGAGCGCCCCATAAAATGTTCTAAATCTGGCTAAAAATGTGTTGATTTTCTTATTTTAAAAGCACATGATTTTGTAAAAGATCATGAGTCAATACTTTATTAAAGGACCATTTCAAGGAGAAGTCCTCATCTGTAGTTAACACAGCGGGATCTCACTTTTTCCGAGTTGTAACATAAAATGATGGTTCAAAGCATTACATTTTAACATGAGGACTTTAATCTTTGGAGTCTAATTTCTTTCACTCTGAATTTGCATTTTCTCCAAATGTCCTCCAAACCATCAAGCCCCTGCCAAATTTCTTGTTTAATAAATTATAACGAAAGGGAGGAAAGGTGTCTGTCGTGTTGATCGCTGCAGATCAGCATCAATCCAGAGGCGTGTCTGGCCTTTAAGATCTGTACTCAGCTCTGCTTTCAAAGCCAGACTGCTACTGAGAAACTGACTGCTTGTCACATCTTCACAAATGCTTTGACATACAGCACTTGGCTTCACACTCCACAACAGAGGAGATGCACATTTCATCTGTTAGCGTAACAGATCTGTTAGCGTCGCTTTGATAAATGTCTGGGGGGAAAACAACCGCATGGCAAAGCCTACAACACACATGGAGAATCGCAACTGTCAGTCGATGTGTTGATTGTTAGTTTTTAAAACTGCACTCAAGTAGGATATTTCTTGTTACAATATGTAGTTAAAAGAAAAATGTGTCTAAAAACACACCAGGCAGTTTCTCAGATGGGGATTTAAACCTAATCCTGGACTATTCGCTGAAAAACTACTTCAGTCCAAGAGTCTGGACCGGGAACCCGACCCAAAATACTACTGGTTATGTCCTTTGCATTCCTTTGCATTGTTTTAGCTCATAGTGAGAGAATCCAATTTGATGGACCAGCATGCAATGCAGCCAGAAGACACAACATGAGAGCAACGTTTTCTTAACTGGAAAATGTTCCTAAATATGAATTAAACAAGGATGGCTGCCTTCACAGTAAACTGTAAACACTGAAAACTGCAGGAATCACTGACCTCGGCAAAAATAGGAGAGACAGGTTGAAGGAAAATGTGTAAAAAGGGAGAAACTTCAATAACAAAATAGCTGCAGGAATGCAAAGAACATCACAGACTAGTCAAATAAAGCAGAATAACTGAAGGGACAAATGTTTCTTACCAAAATGACCAATAGGTTAATTTAAAAAACGAATAAAAAAAACAAAGGAGAAAAGCAGTCTTTGCTGAAAGCAAGAAACAAAGGGATTTTCACAGAGGCAGTGCCTGCAGTGTCCCAGATCAAAATCAGCCAGCAAAGCTGATGTTCTGCAGGCTGTGGACAAAACACACCCACCTGCTTCTAAAAGAGAAACGGCAAACTCCCAGCTTCATAATTATAAATATAACCCACCCACACAAAGTGTGGCTACCTGATGAGGAGACAGAGTGTTTGTTGCTGTAGGTGCGTATGTGTGTGTGCGTGCGTTCTGCTCTTCCACGGCTGTATGTGCTAGAGAGAATACAGCATTGTATTCACATAAACCTGGCTTCTGGCTTTCAAAGAATTTGTCTTTCCTTTGTTAAAAGAAAACAAACAAAGTAAAAGATTTTATCAGAATCAGAACAGTACGAATGACTACAACAAGAAACAATTATTCAAAAACTGCTTCCGTCAGTCACATCTAAAAATCTGTAAATGAGCCGTACTAAAAATCCTGATTCTTCTTTGTGTGTGTTTGTTTCTAACGTACAATCAGCTGCTTTGAAGTGGTCGGACCTGAGGTATAAATGACAACCAGATATGCAGCGTGACACAAAAAGAAACAGAGAATAAACTTCTCCGCAGAGAAGAGCATGGCAATCATGTACATTATGGGTCTTTCTTTTCTGGTAGGCCGCAGCATAACACACCATCCTGAAACAAAATGGCACGTCATGTGGCGTCTACTAAGTGAGGTTACAGTAGTTGCTGTTTTTTTTCTTCTTTTGTCACGTTTTTGTTATTCACTCAGAAGAAAAAAATTAAATTAAATAAAAACCAACCTGAAAAGCAAAAGAGAAATCGATTGGCTTACCTGAAGATGCAAAACCAGTAAAATAAATACATATATATTCATAAGTATATAGCTTTTCATTTTCATCATATAAAGGTACATTTTCCTGTGTGTGGGGTGGGTTTTTTTGGAATGCAGTGTAAAAGATTTTGGATAGGATATTTTTCTTTTACAAGACAGCAGATAAAAGAAGGTTAACTTGTCCACCTGTCCCCCAATCTCCCCTCTGGGTCTCTGATTTCTCTGGGTGTGAGAAATAAAAAAAACACACAAAAAATCCCCCTGTCAAGTTTCAACCTGGAGTTATGTTTCACCTAAAATCACAAATGTGAACAACACCACCTTGTTCTTTCACAGACCAGGGTGGGACTGACCTGACTTGTGGCCTCCAGGGTAAAACCATACGACTGAATCCCAAAATGTTTTTACATTTAGAGGAAGAAATGAGATGTTTGCGGCCCTCCCATATCAACCCCATCCAATGGTAAGAACAGGAATAGCTGTATAGTAATCCCTGTGGGTCGTCCCTAAACCCCTCCCTCCCCAAATCTGTTGCTCATTATATACTTCTATAATGTTTTGTTGTTGCAAAAAAATACCTGAAAAGAGGTAGGGTGGCAAATATTGGTCAGTCAGACACTTGAAGCGTCTCCCTCCTCCATTTGCAAGAGGGAGGGGAAACAAAGAAAAGAAAATTGAACAGATAATAAAAGAAAAGAAACAGCGTAGGATACTATATTTCCCAGAGTATCAGCTATCCCTTCACCAGGCTCCCAGGTAAGGTATACATAAAAGTATGAGGCACGGAAAGGAGGCATTATTCTGAGCTTGAGGTATAGCACTTGGTCTCTGCTGACCAAGTCGACATATAGTTTATATACTGTATATATAGGTCTAGAAATTACATCTAGTACAGGTAGTTAAGTCTGCGCCATTTTCCGACTGACAAATATTGCTGCCCAACCCACTGGCTCGATCCTGAGACATTTACAGTACTGAAAGCTACTGTCGCACGCTCGCGTCAGAAAACGACTGCGTTTCCAATGCAAGCAGCATTAAGTGAAACTAAAAGCAAAAGAATAAAAACAACAGTCTGTTAAAAATAAACTGACAGTGCCATCTTTTTTGCAGATCACTGTTCTGGTTTTGTAAGTTTGAGATACTCATTTCAGTTTACTACATTCATTATGTGAGTATTTGTTAATATATGTATTTAAATAGATATATACGGTTCTCTTAAGTATATAATATAGTATGAGGTTTCTTTAAAAACAGCAGTGAGACTCAGTTGCAAGAAGGAGGACTTTTCGGACAGGGGGAGCCGTTAACCACGTATAAAAACCATAAAAAAAAAAATCAAATTAAATGAAATAAATACACCTTAAATGGCATGCACCTCAGTAGATATCATCAGGCTGAAAATGGGACTTAAAATTACTCGTATTTTACAAAGCAATGCCAAATTTTAGCAAAAGCCAAACAGGCAACAAGGGTCAAAAATTTCTTAAGGATAGAGAGTTTGTAAAGGATTTAGAGTTTGTGTAAATTATACACAGATAGTTTGGCCTGTTCAGGAGCCCCTCTTAGGGGAATTCCGTCTTAAGTGCTTTTGGAGTTTATCCATGCACCTGTGCATTAAGTGACGTTTTACATTATATTAGCAGCACAAATCCATACTTTACATGCATTACATTAAACAGGCTAATAGGCAGAGTGTCATGAGTTTGTTTTGTTTGTTTGTTTGTTTGTTTTGGGCCACATGTAAGTTGCATTTTGCTGGCTAAGTGAGCTGCTATCGTGCCTTTTATCAGAGGCTTGTTCATGAGAAGTGCTTTACTATCAACAGTGGGGTTTCGATCCCGTTTTAACTATCAGATCAGTGCATTGTCCTTCGCTGGGTCCAACTCGACGCCCACAACAACTTTTTAGACACTTCAAATGCTTAGCATTGTCAAAGTGTTGGACGCATTTTATGCATGATGACCCCTGGCAATACTTTTGTTCCAGGGTTCTTTTCTAGGGCTTTCCCCATTGACCATACATACCTGCCAATCAAATGGGAGCTATAAAGCTTAAGGTGGATAACCAAAAACCAGAGAAGGGAAAGACTGTATGCAACAGGTAGTAAATTATTCTAATTCTAATTAGATTGTGATTAATTCATAACTTAGTATAGTTTAAGCATCTCTGCCTCAGGATTAATTGTGTTGACATCCTGTCAACATAATATATTCAATTGGCCCAACCCCAAAATCAGCCAAAAAAAGTGGTGCATGCCATTTTTAAGAGAATAATCAAAGAAAAAAACAAATCAAATAAATACAGTGTACAATACATTTCATAAGGAGTGAATCATCATCATTTCATCTGAACAGAGAGGTTCAATTCTCATGTTAAAAATTTCACAGACTGGGTGAGCACCAGGCAGTGTTAGGAACAAAGAGCAACATTTACCACAGAGCAAAAAAACATAACTACCAAAAAGCTTTTGTCATCTCCTTCAATATTTTCCTCATGGAAAATACCAAAGAGCTTTTTTTTCTTTCCACTTGTGTCCTCTGAGGGATATTCTCGCCTGGTAAAATGTGATGACAGTTTTCTATCCCTGGTGGTTCAGCGGCGAGGGGAAGGAAAACAACATGACGACACTACACAAAACTGAACTTGTTCGAGCTGTCGACCGTTTTTTTTTTTTCCTTTTTTTGTGTTATGTGTTTCTTCTTTTAATCGTGGAGGTAATTGAGAGGAGTAGTTTGGGTCCAAGCTGCAGCTTTCTGAAAGTCTTCACAACTAAAGCTTTTTTCTTCCATCTCTCCTTGCCCCATATCCCCCAGAGAAGAGCTACACTACATGCATAACCTCAAAACAGTTTCTTTCTTTCTACTTTTGAAAAGTGCTATTTTAGAAGTTTAGCGCCGTAAGTTCAATCGCCTAACCAAACATCAGTGTTTTCTGTTCCTTTTCATGATTCATTAGCAGGTCTATCTGCTATGGCTCTGCCATATTTACTCACATGGCCCCTCCCACAGACAAAGCATTAGTGAAAGACAAGTCTTGTCCTCTTCTCTGTCTACTATAGGTCCAACAGGAAATTACCATATTTGAAAACCACATCATCTGTCTCAGTTACCCTGAGTTAAAAATGAGGAGAAACGAAATCATCCAGAATCACAGATTGGCTTTTACATCATCAGTCATAATAATTTATAATATATTAAATCTGCTTTTCCCTCGACTCTATCAACTACCCCTGCATATTACCCACCCACCATCACAAAATGAACAACCCTATATAAATGCACATTGTTGTATTAAACTGCCTTTGTAGTTTGAGGGAGAAGAATTTCTTTTAAAACTCAGCTAAGCTGATTCTGCTTAGTTTGATTAGAAAGGAAAAATACATTAGCGATGTGTTGTTGTTAGCTTAGACTAGCTAAAGCCTTGTATAGGAACTAAATAATCAACTGAACAGCAGCAGAGTTTCACATTCTGATCCTAAAAGGCCTCCGTTCAATAAAGATCTCCATGAGGGGATGAGCTCACCATTCGGAGAGCAACTTGAAGGTAGCGCTAGCATTCCAGGATCAGCAGTGAAACACTGATGGAGGTCCAAGAGGTAGCATTTCGCCTTAAAAAACGCTGATCCATAATCATATTACCCCTCAATTTGTCCCTTGGCAAAAAAAGGGTTTTAGCGCTTGTTGGGATCTGATTATAGATCAGCCTACGCAGGCGATGTGCACCTCTGACCAATTGCGAGGTTGCGACTGGGCTTCAGAGACAGACCATAATAAGTGCATGATGCAAGGGCAACAATGCCGAGGTAACCTGGTCTGTAAGCGCCAGACCCAAAAGCGTAGTGCAAAAGAAAGAAAACAAATCAAATTAAAAGATAAAGATTGAGGAAACAATGTCTATTATCAGTAGTGTCCACGAAACTCACAAACATGCATCCCTGAACGACTTTTGTGTGTCTTTTCTCATTCAAAATGGACGGGTTAATGTTGCTTTTGTCTGCACAGAGATTAGCAGAATATCTAAATTAGGAAAGAAAAGATTTGCAGTTAAAGCGTCATGGCTACCTGGCAATAAGAGAATGGGTTTTGATGCAGAACCCTGATGAGGAATATCAATGGTATGATTAAACCTTACACTTGGCTTCAAATGTTATTGACAGTTCACTTACCAATTTTCAGCGAGTACTCCAGGAGAGAGAGGGGAGCAGTAAAAGGACTAATTTGTCAGTTAATTTTCAACTTTCCCCTCTTTTTCCCCCAAATTGGAATGGTCCAAAGCCCAAACTGCATTTATAAGCAGCAATGTTTCAGTATATCAAGTTCAGAAAAGAGGGGGATTAGGTTTTTGGGCAGGGGATAATGAGCATGCTTATGGAAATTTCATTAATTGTCATTTAACAAATGTCTTTAGCTGCATTTGTTAAGCCCCTGGATATAAAAGCTAAACAAATGCTTATACAGCACAGCTCAGCTCAAGCAATGCTTGTTAAAAACCATTCGATTAGGTGTTTATCTCCAGTTTGTTTTAAGAATCCTCCTCATATTATCCCTGCGTTTGTGCTCACCCAGATACTGCAAAGTAAATTGGCACAAATAAAGCCCCATCCATTACTTTAGTCATTTGACTGAGGTTTACATGTGTAAGTCGTTTTAGTCGATTGGTTTGAAATTGTCATCAATCTCTTCTTTTACATTGACCTTGAGCTCAGCAGGTGCCAGCGGCTGGCCATCATCACGTGGGGTTGTGGTGGGCGTGTTCTCTGACTCGGCAGGAAAATCCTGGCCTCCTGCTTCTACCTTCATCATCAGCTTGAGCTTCTTCTTTGGGGGGTTCTTAAGGGTTCCCATGCGCTCCTTGACCTTGTACTCCAAGGTGCTGTGTGGTATCCCGTACATGTTCTGAGCCTTGGACACGCTCATCTTTCCGCTCATCACTACTGCTATGGCCTCCTCCAGGATCTCGCTGTTGTACTGGCGATAACGGCCCCTCTTCTTCCTTGGCTGCTTAGAGCTTGGATCCCCTTCCACGTCAGAGGTGGAGTAAGCTGGCCCGGAACTGGAGTGGTCCAAGTCAGAGCTCCAGTAGTCAGCCGCCCCATCCAGCAGGCTTCCGAGGCTTCCTCCCCTGCGGTTCTGCTTGGGCAAAATGGCTCTCAGCTTCCTGCTCAGGGTGTTCTCCCCATGGCTACCACCACCAACCCCCACGGCACCATAGCTGTACAGGTCAGAGGCATGCGAGTCCCAGGAGAGATCCATGCCCCGAACTTGGGGGATTTTTAGGTCAACAGGAGGTGAGTGGCCCTGGTCTCTCTTGCCCTCATTGTGGTGGTGTTGGGCCTTGGAGAGCTGATTGTGGTGGTGATGGTGGAGGGAACTCTTGAAGGAGAAGGCTCCGTGGTGGTGATTCTCCAGAAATGTAGGCAGGTCTTTGAGGTCACTGAGGGCCCCGCTCAGAGCTCCACTGGCCTGCTTTAGCTTCAGCAGGCTGTCGAGGTGGGCCTTGCTTCCCCAGAAAGAGGAAGAGCCCTTCTGGCCAAGCAAGGAGTGGGACTGCCCATGATTGAGCAAGCCAGCTGACTCTAGATTAGCCAATGACAGAGCAGCAGGCTGGCTCAGAAGGCGGTGCTTCTGGCTGAGGAGCTCTTCCTTGATACGCAGTGAGCGGGCCAATGGGGGCTTGAAGGAGTTGGAGTTAATGTAGTTCTCCCTAAGGCCGTCCTGCAAGCTTCTCTGCAGCAACCCATCATCCTCATCCACCTCTGGCAGCGTCTGTTCCACTTTGAGGGAACGTCTGGACGGAGAAAAAAAGAGGAGAATTTATGAACAGTGTCAGACATCCCGTAGTAAAACAAAACTCATTCTTGAGACTAGAGGTTGATGCTTAAGACTGACTGAATTTTTAATTTAATATTATAGTCTGTAATGTGGTGCTCAGAATTAAGTTATTAATCATGGGTCTTTTTACTTTTACCATCCTACATATCAGGGGAGAAGATACCACTGTCTTTACCCAAATCACAAAGCATAAATAAATTACTTTTGAGAAACAAGTCTTTTACCAGAATATTTTTTAGAGAAATCACAGACCAATGTCTACGGCTTTGATTGTCTACTCATTACTACTTTTTGTTCCTCAGTAAAAAGAACAAGGGGTAAACGGGAAATACAGCATGTTTTAAATAACGTGAAGTGATGTTTTACCATTTGTAAAACAAACGTAACAACAACTAGAGACTTAAATAATGCACTGTGGAATGTTATGGCTGTGTACATGTATGTATATATATATAAATAACTGTATATATATTTTATTTTATATGTTACCATATTTTAATATAGGCCCATGCTTAATTATATGTTGTATGTGTGTAGCATGAAGGAACTACAAATTCCGTTTCGTTCTGCAGCCTTGTGCTGTATAATGACTAATAAGCACCTTGCACCTTGTTAAGGGGAAAGGCTTGAAAGCCATATCTTCAGATACATATACATGTCACCATCACGGATCTATCCATCTACTGAAGCTATTAATGATACTGACAAATTTCATAGATATTAGGTTAGTGTGGACATAGTGTTGTAGGGAAGCAGTTGTAGATGTCACTGCCAGCCAGTGAACTACAAATAAAATAAAAATGAATTCTTCTCTCCCGTGACCCTGTACGCAGGATAAGCGTTTGACGATGGATGGATGGATGAATTTTCATCAAGTAGGACAAACAATTAAAAATGAAGGAGAAACAACAGATGCCAGAAAGAAAAACTGTAGATTCCTGACAGTAGGCCGTAGTAATGTTTGTAATGCTGAGCTCTGTTTGTACCTTAGCACATAAAAACATGTTTAAGTTAATTAATTTTAAAAATAGCCAACTTAAATTCTTCATCTGGTCTGCAAGCATCTCACATTTCGACTTTCTTAAAATTGTCTGCTGCTGTAACATATGCTAACATGCAAAGTGTCTCCGCTTGATGCACAACTGATGCAGCCGATTTTCCTATGAGATATGTATATGTATAGTAACTATAGCAACTATAGAAACAGTGGAAAATCTCTTAAAAAATGCTCCCTTAGGTAACAGGAGTAGCTTGTCAAGTCAGCGGATGGCATGGTGGAGAAACTTGAGGGAAATACTGTATCTCTCTAATGGAGGAATATTCTGGTGAGCTACAGTTCAACTGACTGTGCGATGTGGGGAGTCCACAGCAGGAGCTTTAAAACAGATTACCACAGTGGGCGGTCTCAGGCTCATTGAAAACAATGAGAGGCTTTGGAGTCTACACTCTAATAGAGCGTTCTGTTACAATAAGCATACAGTCAGGGTAGCTGGGAAAAAATTTAAAGACTGTTTCAGCATCTGGGTGATGATCGGTGTTCCCTAACCATGTATTCTGAGGCTCAAATGGTTATAAAAGGAAGGTAGTTATATCCTGCAGAGAGTGTTTACTTTAGTTAAATTTGTATATTTAAATATTTAATTTCCGACTGTTAAAGTTGAATTGGTGTTAGTGGTGGTGGAACTACAGGCTCTGCCTCCTCCTGTAGTTAATATTACATGACTTGATCATTAGTGTTCCGGTAAGGTATGGGACCTTTGGGCCTTTGGGCCTTTGGGGCCTTGGGACTCTCAGGCGGGAGGCAGAGTCCCTGCCTTGAGGGGTTTACGGGGAGGGGCTTGCTTTTTCTAATTTTGCTTTTAGTTATTAGTTTAGTTATTCCTATTACGGAAATTCTTCACAATGCCACTGGGCCCTTGCTTTCCCAAGAAACTGTCAACATCAATTGATCAATCACTGAATAACTAATGGTGACCTCGACTTGGTCAAAACAAATAAATCCCACTTTCACAAAACCTCCATAACTTATGCAGCACATTAACTGCCTTAATAGATAATATCCTTCATTGTGTCATTTCATTGTTTCAACAGCAATGTTTCATCAAGTTTATTTCAACTTGGGTCTTAGTTCTAACTTTGACAATCATTCATCAGTTTTGAAACACTGTACTCACTGTAGGCTACTCACTAACCTAATTGCTGAGATCTTGGAACACAGTCGGAACTCAACAATGAGGTACCAAGGTAGCAAGATAGCAACAAACATGGGTGATTGCTTTGATAGCAGAAAAAAAAAGAAAAAAAATTGATAGCTGTTCAGCTGCTGCTGAAACAGATATCACTCATGACAGATACAGTTAATCACACAATCACTTCCTCTTAAGCAATGCTTTATGTTGAGTTTATTGAAAGCTTTTACTTTGAAGAGTTCTGAAGGACATTCAAAAGAGTCTCTGGCTTGCTTGACACACCTGTGGAAGGAATGTAGAAAGTGGCGCTGCGGAGAGCCCCCAGTTGCAGTAGTAGATGGATCATGCATAATATTCATACTGCCAACGATCATGAACTGTTCACAGCGTGTCGGCACCGGAGTGGGACTGACCAGGGACATGAGATTGCGGAGCGACTGGCCCGCTGCGGTTGGTTAGAGATCATTTCCTTTGGCGGGATGAAGTCTGACGCTCCGCATGATCCATGATAAGATTAATGTCAATAAAGCATGCTGTCAGTATTTTAGAGACCCCCAAAAATATCACAAATCATGCTTTTAGGGAAGCTGATGTCTTATTAGGTGTCTCCCCCCTAGTTCGCACCCTGAATTTCCTCAGGGAAATGAAAATAAGCGTCAATAGCTTTATGAATGCGGATCAAACGCCGGGTGCACACACACTGCAGCACGTGCCTTGTGAGCATGTGCAAGTGTCCTTATAATCAAGTAATAAGAAGGGAAAATATATGCAGTTAATTGATCTTCCAATCCAAGTCCCGCACAGTACCTCCTCTGCCAGGCGTCAACTTCCACTGGAAGCACTGGCAATGGCTCTCTGCAACCCGGTTTTGTTTTGTTGTCTGCACGGGTACATTTACCACAGGGAGCATTTCAAAGCATTTTGCCTGCATACATTTTTCTGACATGTTGAGATTTTGTTGATATAGTAATTAGTGCTTACTTTTTGTGCTTCTGTTGATAATTGTCTTTGTGTTTGTTTCAATCCAAAACTAGTGTGGTTATAACTGGCTTTAGATCTAGGCAGCACTAACTTTCACTAAGAAGACTGTGGTAACTGTTATGTCAATGCAACACTTCTCCAATCTCAGTTCAGAAGGCAATTGGAGGTGTATTCGCTGCTGGATCAAAGAGACGCTGCACACATCCTCCACCACTGCAGGGTTACCACTATCCAGCATTTGGGGCTGCTCTCCGTATTGAACCTTTACTTATCCATCTTTGACCTACAGATCAAAAGTATTCCTGAAATGGGGTGGATGAGGTAGGGGCTCTGAATCTCCCTGAGGATGACCAGGGGGAGATGAAAGTATGCGCCCCCAAAATGCAGAGAGACCAAGCGAAGGCACGGCCCTTTCAAAACCTGCAGAGTTACGCTTTGGTGTTCCCACAAATACGATTCTCTTGAAGTCAACTTGTTCCCAACTACCAAAAGCTATTCTGCAGCTTCTTAAAGTTTTTTCTTTAAAAACAATATATTACTAGAGTTAACAGAGCTGTTAGTATTCTTTTATAGGTTTAACATTTTAAAAGAGTCTTACATTTAATCATATAAAATGTATGACTATGGCTGCATTATATCATGACTGTTACACCACAGTTGTGATTAAATGTTAAAAAGTTTATAAAAACTTAATGACTTAGAGAAACATATTGCTTTTTTCAGTAAGGCATGAGCAGAGCTGAACAGAGCGCTTATACATGTAGTGCACTGTCCGTCTGCTTGATGGTTTAACTTGTGCCCTGTGGTGCCACTACACAACAGTGGAGTCACTGTCCAGTCTGTACTTAATGCATCTTTCATGAAAATGTTAAAGGATCTTACTGGTGCTTTTGCAAGCTTAATCCCATTGACAACTTTTAATTTAAAGTCTTGCAAGCTGCTCTGTGGCTGTGCTGAAACTGCAGTTGCAGTTTACTGTTGGTGTTGTGATGCATTCGTGCACTTTGAGAATGTCCGACTTCAGAGACTTTAATACCTTGTTTTATTGAAGATTGAAGTTAATTTTGTGTTCACATTTTTGGGCTACAACCTTAGATTTATCAACCTCAAATGTGAGAGCCCCACACACACACCTCCACACAGACTGAGCATCTTGCACCCATGATCTGTGCCGGTCTTCACAGTCACTCTTTAACTTTACAAGTGACATTACATTTAGTAATGACAGCTACATACAGTATGTTGTGGCAACATAGAGTATTTAAGTCAAGATAGTCAAGTCAACAAAATCCAAGGACCTATCATTAAACTGTTGACAGCTCTCCACTTTTAACTATTAGTTAATACTAGTCTACAAACAAATAAGGTGCTTTTTACCAGCAGTATTCCCTTTACACAGTAGCAATAAAATATTTCTTCTTCATCTCAACTTAAACATTAATGTAATCAAATCAAATTTTAAACCAAAGCTATTTGCCACTGCCAGGGCATTACCTTTTATTTTTTGAGTCCAGATCTACGATCATAACATCAAGACAGGCACCTTCTGAGCAACAGGTTAACATAGTCCTATATATATCTGTTTTCTTTTTTTTTTTTCTGAACAGGTATGAGCAGAAACATTTTTCTTTTATCAGGGAGCAGCATAAGTAGTCTATGTTCAGTAGCAAGTGTCCCTGCTGGAGTGAGGTGAAGTGGTCGAGCACAAGGCATAGCGACAAGCGCCGAAGTTGAATTGTCTTGAACTTTTTTTATGCGCTGCGCAAATTATTGGAAGAGAGACTCATCCTCTATTGTTTGTGAGTTTCCAGAATCTATTACTGTTTAGTAAATAGTTATCAGGACATCAACAGGAGGGAATTCACATGGCAGAGCATCCCTGCAAAACTGGAACAAGGCCCACCTATCAGGTAAAGATATGTAGCCTATAATTTTAACTTGAGTTAAATACGCTACAACTGTGTAGTGCACAGAAACCGTTGCCATGGTTACTGTCCATAGAGCGCCTGCCGTTTACTCGCGGAGCCCTTGTCTCCCACACAAACCCTCCAAGTAGTCTGCTGAAGCCTTCCTCCGCTGCTCGTTTGGGTGGGTCATTTCCAGGCTGATCAACATCCCACCCCTCATGTGACCCATGGTTTGACTGTATGTGTATTCAGAGCCAGTGAGCCACGGACTATCAAAATAATAATGATAATTAAAAATAAAAACTGTGTTAATGTGAGATAAAATAAGTGTTGGTGATAATTAATTAATGAATGTGTTAATGCAATATATAGTGTATTGATTGAGACATGAATTGAGACTGAATGATTATACTGTGAAAAAGTGTTGCTTTTCAGCCTAGTTAACACCTAGAAGAAGCACTGTTTTTAATGTATTATGAAATAACAAAAAGACCCAGGAGCGAATTCAACAAGAATGGATTGCGGCTGTAGATAGCACCTTAAATTGCACATCACTTGCATCTGCTATTTATCCTGTCCAATTCACAAAAGATATTGCGCTAATGATATTACAGCACAAACGCACTAATAATGTTTTGCAGTGCGATTTGCCCTAGTTTTTTATCTGTTAAATGTTCATGTGCAATTTTCTGTAGTGGTCCTAGTAGTATTTGTTCTTAAAGTATACTGAAGTAGCATATCACACAACATGGTTAAGCAACATCTGAGTCAAAAAATGTTGTTACTGCTAGAACAAAACTTTCCACTCATATCTTAAAACATCTGATTTGAAAAAGAACACATTCTAATTATAACTACAACTATCTAATAATCACCCCACTCTTTATTTAAATTCAAACAGACATCTGTAGAACATGATATTAGTTCATTACAATACTTACATCTGAGAATATAGAGATACACTGATAAAAGCAAACAATTTCAACTAGGAAGCAAAATAATCAACGAAAGTTATGAAAAAACTGTATTATAAAAGTGTCTTGTGTGTGAGGGGGGATTACTTAAAATACGTTCATCATGTTAAATAAATCTTAACCATGTCATGTGACAGGCTTTATTACTAACAAATATTACTGGGACTGCTACAGAAAATTGCAGATGAACATTTAATATCCAGGAATTCACATCAACTACATAAACAACAGCTTGTGTTATATTTGATTTAACATGATAATTGTCTTTTTGTTTAATCATATCTTCATTAGAACTCTTAAAAGACGTTATAAAAAGTGTTTGCTTGAGCCACGTGTACATATGTGTGCATGTGATCAGTGTGATACCACCTCCGCCTCATTTTGAGCCAGGAAAAACCCTGAATAACACAGTTTCATTTAATCTTAAAATAAGATCAGATAAGATATACCTTTATTATTTGTGCAGGTTTAGCAGCCGCAAAAGGTGCAAAAACTTTTTGTGACCCCCAGTGTACTCGCAGTTTGCTGCATACCAAAAATATACAGAGTGGTGTGTCATGTAGGGTAAACATCTTGACTTGTAACACCTCAAATAAATCTCACGGCTACTGAGGATTCTAGGACCCCAGGTAGGGAACCGTCTTTGTTTAAGTCTGAATTTGTATTTACATCAACATGCAGAACCGACAGTTGTCAAAATTTGTGACAGTGTCAAATCTGCCTGTAATGGTTGTCATCTGCTTGTGAAATCAATCTTTGTTGGGCTGGCTACAAACAAGAAACTTGATTGTGGTTTGGATACCGATCTGAATCAGTTTGACATCATCACCTCAGGCCAAAATTCAACACAGCACTTAAATGTTAGACTGAAAAGTGCTCTCCGAGAAGTGCAGTACAGTTATACAGCAGTGACTGCTTTAACCTCTCCAGTGTTGTTTTAGGCTCATGACAGTAACAGATGCCAGTTTGACTACTCTGGCTGTCTTACCCTTTGACCACGGACGCAGGGGAGGAGCCGGACAAGGTTTTGCGGCTGCCTGTGGTATGGTTCTTCTTGGTGGAGAGGTCCAGGACGCCATCTGAGGAAGAAAAAAAATTGCACAAGAACATACCTGAATAACTTCTGACTATGAATTTGTGTTGTAAAGTGAAGTTTAATCATTTTTTATGCTTATTAAGCAGTATGTAGTACACTGCATTTCAGGGAAAGGCAACTTTTTGAGATTCATTTGTCATTGTCTGATTTTCCCTTAACGGTCAAAGCAGAGTAAAAAAATATAAAATATGATTTTTCATATGAACCATATGATTCTGTAAAATTTGAATCATTTTAAGGATTTCTACTAGTTGAACTTTAACTATTTTAACAAGTAATTCTGCTACTGTCCAGAGCAAAACAACCCAAAGAGGAGACTTGGAAAAACACAGAAAAACTAGTTCGCAAACATTACATACTGTACAGTGGAAAATGTAAACACAAGAAATACTGTTACTAACAATTTTATTAACAAGTTAATAAGTTTATTTCACATTTTTAATCTCAAATAAAACAAAAACACAAGTGAAAATGCCAGAAATTTAAAAATAAGTCAAGTAAACTGTTTTTACACTTGGCTAAGGTGGAATTGGTTGGTGTATTGATGAAAGCAAAATGCCACAAAGTGCTATGAAAACAGGCCTACTGAAAAAATCATGACATACGTAAAGCATGTGACTTAAACGTCCACTGGAGACACATTGTAACATTCTGAAAATTAACACATGAAACAAACAGAAATGTCATATTTCTGTGAAAAATGTTCATTTGTTACAGCCTCTTCCTCGGCAATGGTTTAATGGCACCTGACTAAACAACTGACGCCTCCACCTGTTTATCTTTCTGCGTTAAACTTAAAATATCCGCTTAACTGTAGTGGATGGAAACACGCAAAAGTTTGCATTTTCTTGACTATTCATCATTAAATAATTGAGAATCTAAGGTCATTCCAGCATACTCAGACAAAAGGAATTAGGAACACTGCTCTGAATTATTTGAAAAAATTGCCTTGTAGAGTCAGGTAAATGTATAATTTTTTTATTCGTCTTTTTATATATCAGTTTGAGTTAAAGATTGCAGATCAATGCCCAGTTTTGTAGAGCATCTGTAGACAATGTAACTGTATTGTACCCAGGAACTATGCATATACAGTATCTCACAAAAGTCAGTACAACCCTCACAATTTTGTAAATATTTAATTATATCTTTTCATGTGACAAAACTGAAGAAATGAAACTTCAATGTAAAGCAGTGAGTGTACAGCTTGTATAACAGTGTAAATTTGCTGTCCCTCCAAAATAACACATCACACAGCCATTAATGTGTAAACCGCTGGCAACAAAAGTGAGTACACCCCTAATTGAAAATGTCCAAATTGGGCCCAATTAGCCATTTTCCCTCTCCGGTGTCATGTGACTCGTTAGTGTTACAAGGTCTCAGGTGTGAATGGGGAGCAGGTGTGTTAAATTTGGTATTATCGGTTTCACACTCCCTCATACTGGTCACTGGAAGTTCAACATGGCACCTCATGGAAAAGAACTCCCTGAGGATCTGAAAAAAAATAATTGTTGCTCTACATAAAGATGCCCAAGGTTATAAGAAGATTGCCAAAGACCCTGAGCTGCAGCACGGTGGCCAAGACCGTATAGCGGTTCAACAGGACAGGTTCCACTCAGAACAGGCCTCGCCATGGTCAACCATAGAAGGTGAGTCCAAGTACTCAGCGTCATAATGCTCAGCCAACATAATGACCCCAAACACACCTCCAAGACACCCACTACCTTGCTAAAGAAGCTGAGGGGAAAGGTGATGGACTGGCCAGGCATGTCTCCAGACCTAAACCCTATTGAGCCTCTGTGGGGCATCCACAAATGGAAGATGGAGGATCGCATCATCTCTAACATCCACTAGTTTCGTGATGTCGTCATGGAGGAGTGAAAGAGGACTCCAGTGGCAACCTTTGAAGCTCTGGTAAACTCAAGAGGGTTAAGGCAGTGCTGGAAAATAAGCATGGCCACACAAAGTATTGACACTTTGGGCCCAATTTTGACATTTTCACTTAGGGGTAGGGATGGGGATAGTTTATTTTTATTGATATTGATACCCTTATTGAGACTGCTTAACGATCCGATTCTTTATCGATACTACTATCGATATTTTTTAGTGATGGTTATTTGGTAAGACCAGACCCAACGGGCATGAGGTAGGCCTGCACGGTATGAGGGAAATATTCAATGTGCGAGAACGTTATATATTGACATGACATATCACTTGCAATAAATAAACATATATTGAAGGGTACATATTAACTGCCTGGCCTCACCGTATTCCACCGCGACGGCGCAGCCTCTCGCTCTGCTGCCGCTGTGTGAGAGTGTGTGTGTGTATGTAGGAGCCGACAGAGAGCAGGCAGCTTGAAGATTTTCTTATATTGCATTTCATATTATATCAGATTTGACGCTCGAGACATAACGTTACATAATAGGACCCGCAAGTCTCGATAGCAGTATCGATAAGGTCGAATCTTACTGATTTTCGGGTTTTGAGAAATTTTGGGACCAGGTCTCAATCCCCATCCCTACTTAGGGGTGTACTCACTTTTGTGGCCAGCTGATTAGACATTAATGATACTGTGTGTGTATATATAAGGATTTTTCTTTAATCATTTTAATGCAGTAATGAATAGAGTCAATTTTCAGCTACTCAAACAAAACACTTAAGGTCCCTTAAACAGTACCAAAAGTTGCTAATGGATGGTGCTGTGCGTTTACAGCATTAAACATTTGTAAAATTGAGGTCCACTGCGAGAGATCAGTACTGTCGATTTCTTTGATTTCATTAAATCTTTTAAATCTGGATCTACTACATGTTAACAGATTCTGCAACTTCTTGTGTATGGGCATGTCTGCATATGAAAATGACTTCTGCTTTTTTCTTATTTCTGTCTTTTGATGACAAAAAAAACCTTGAGATATTCTGTGCGCTTCAGAACAGGTGGACTCTGTGACACTTCAGCAATAAAGTCTGGGAAATATGGCGACATGCTGTGTGTGAAATCTCAGTTTATCTGTGAATATGTTTGTCAGGCAAATCAGGTCACCACACACATACACTAACACTCACAAACAGAAGAGATTTCATGATGTGTGGGTTTTTTTCTGTCATGACTAGAGCAGTTTTCTTAGGGCTTGCAGTAATCATGAAGGATTGAATCTGGATAATATTTCATCTGTCTGTATGTTTTGCCACAAATAACGATGGGACAAAACTTTTCAATTAAAGTTTTTAGCATTTACAGGTAAATTACAGATTTGAAAGCCTGAAATTTAACAACAAAGTGTACAAAGAAATGCAAACATATACTTATACATTCATAAACAGACTCTCTCTGTGTTTTGCAGGTTAAATCCCAGCTGATCTTGTGACCTCTCTAACCAATAGGACTTGTTAATCTGAGTTGATTCTTTGATCAAATTTAGAATTTGGTAGTATGTGAGTGTATACAACATATACACTTCACTTTAAAAACTATGAACCAAGGGCCGTGTGTGTACTCAGAATTTTGGCTCCAAAATAATTCTTAATCAAAATACACCCGGTCAAAAATGTCCAGGGATAACAACCATGATAAATTAATTACACATAACAAGTTACACTAATGAGTCCTTCTCTGAGCTAATGAACATGTAAATTTGCATCAGCAGGTTTGTTTTCATATAACACATTGGTGGTAGTAATAAGAACTCTCTATGTTATATGCTACCGTTTCCTCATCAACATGCAGATTTGTGCAGCAAGGTGACCCCAATTTTAATCAGATCATGCACTGCAGCTCATACTGTACACCATATGATGGTTCAGTCAGGTTTTGTGTTCACTAGAATACGTGTACACAGACAGACACCAGAATCATCAATCACAGAATTTGTTTGTTTCCTTTGGGTCAGAACCTCAAAAACTAAAGTATATAACAATTAATAAAATAGACTGTGCAAGTACCCCCACTATTGTGACAGGAAAGCACAATACTTGCTGAGGTTAAGAAATATTTGGTACCTAAAAAATTAAAAGTTCACAAATCTCAAAAACTCTGAAAAGCACTTTCTCCGTCACAGTCAAAATCTGTCTACATTTCTTTGAACAAATATTACATGTTATGTCATTATTTTATTTCCCATGATTTATAAATTGTTTGCGTACACAGTAAGACTGTAAGATGGGCAAATTTGTTCAGTGGACACATTCTGTAGTAGCAGCAAGTTGACTGTGATGCTAGCTCAGAGACACCTGCTGGCAAACATCACCGGCAGTAGGAACTCAATTTTTTTTTGGACAAATAAAAATGTAAACACGCATCTGACATATTGTCACCTAATAGTTCGTGGCCAATGTATTAAGAAGACTTTATTTTTGTATTGGCAAACAGTTGCCTCTGTACACATCCAGTGGACAGGAAGCAACATTAGGACCCCATCGGAGTCTTGTTTTGTCCACATGGTCAACATAAATCCAGGATTCACTCTCTGGATCCACTATATTCACCAGCTACTTTCAAATGTTGTCTGTATGAAGCTTGTTGCTGGGCAGTCAGTGTACAACAGGGTTTGTCTTAGCTTGTTTGTTGAAACAGCTGCCTGCTGACTCTGGACACAGGGTTGATTAAAGTGCACAGACTCAACCATTCAGTCAACACACCGTAACACCAAAAGTATGCGCTAAAAGAGGCTAAAATAATATGTAGAGTTGCAAAGCTCTGTGGGTTCATCATTTGATCATTGTTAATGTAAAAAATATTGATAAGTAGAGCATTAAGAATGTCATTTATTTCCTGAAATTACATCTACTGTGTTATCTAAACAAATGCATGTGATCCAGCTTTGAGGATAATCTGAGTCAGAATTCATCTAAAAGGTGTTCAGTGTTGGTGTGTGTGTGTGAGTGTGTGTGAGAGAGAGATAATGTGCTAGCATGAGGTGGATGTAAATGCCTAAATCTTTTTTTGTAAAAATTAAGGAGGCTTACTGTAAGCAGATTCCAAAAAGCTGGTATTAAAGTGGGTGACCGGTCACATTGTGGTTGAGGGTTGAAACAGTGAGCTGTCGATTCAATCTTGCAGCCTTTTTGGTAATTGAAACGCAAGCCCCCTGCTGGTTTAGTTTGATTAAACGTAGTTTGAGCCCTGAGCTACATTTCAGAGCTCAGTATAGTGCTGCAAAGGCTCAATCCAAAAGATGATGGCTTTTAAGTGATCTGTTCATGAGCTGAATCTGTAATGAATGTGAGTCTATCTAGGTTTTAGGATCTGATGTGTACCTCAAATGTTTTCTGTCAATGAGAGTAATAGGAACTTGAATCAAAAAACAAAAGCAGGATAATCACAGTCAACACACATTTGCTCAAAAGCACCAGTAAAAATAAAATTCCCAAAAAATACCTTTTCAGATTCACAATCTGTACATTAACCAGAAAATCAAATGCATGTGTTTAACACTATGATAAAAAATTGGAACAAACCTTAACTTCCAAAAATATAATTTTATAAATGTGACCATTTAAACTAAAAACATAATAACAACTGTGTTAACTTTGTATTTATGCTTTTATATACACATTTTCACATGCTTGTTTTTTGTATTGATGCTAGATAGATCTTTACTACATTGTATTAGTATATTAGTATTATTTATAATTTTATTTAAAAAACACTTAATAACAAATGGTAGCCAAATCACATGATAAAATGTTTCTGAAATGCTGTGTGTGTGTGTGTTTGTGTGTGTATATATTTATACACCTGTATTAGTGGCAATGTGGGAACTATGTTTACACAGTCACATTGTGGGGACAAAAAGCTGGTGCCATGCAGTTATTGATTATTTTAGGATTAAGACTTCGTTTTAGTGTCAAGATTAGAAGCTTAGGTTAAGTTTTAAATAATAGTTGGCTTGGAGGGCATATTTTGGGTTAGGGTACGCTACCAAGGAATTAATGAAAATATAATGAATGTCCTCATAAGTGAGTAAGTCTGTGTGTTGTTGCTCTCACCCTGCTGGCTGGGCTCTGGTTCGTCCTCACTCTTTTTGACGGAGAGGTCCAGTGGGCCATCCTGGTCAGCCATGAGAAGCTTGCTGAGGACGGGATTCTGTGCAGAGGCAGCAGCTGTACCTCCTCCTCCACCACCGTTACTGGCTCCTGTACCATTGCTGCAGGCGGATGCTGAGGCAGCGGCGGTGGTGGAGCTGGGGCTGAGGCCTGGCCTTGGGGTTGGGGATGGAGAGGAGGAGGCAGATGATGGAGGGGAGCTTGGCGCGGGCCGGGACCCAGGCGGGGAGCATGGGGCTGGGGCCAGAGACGCCACTCTCGGCAGGCTTTGGTCCTTCATGGTGCCGTTAGGCAGGGGCGAGTCGTCCTGAGTAGTTTTTGAGGTATATTCGGCAGCGAACTGGCGGATCATTCGCTGCATGATCTCACGAGCCACTAGAGGAATGTGAGGTTCTGAGAAACTTGGGAGTTCTGTAGAGAAACAAAACAGAGGAACAAACATGTCAGCATCCCGTTCTCCAGGAATTTGTTCAGTCGTTGCCATAGTCACCATCGTATTTATCCCATTTCATCCTGAAAATGTAATCCTGATGGTATGCTGAAATAATCCAAAATCACTTTTCTGAGCTGCACTTAATCCCGCCTATTGACCATGATGAAACCCTATCTCAGTGTGTACAGCAGATTATTGCCTGCCATCCTTCAGATGGAGCTTTTTATACCTTCTCCTTAAATTTCCCAGGATCCTTTTTTCATTTTCATCTTGTGCACGTTGCCAGTAGAAATTTTATATCTGATCAATTTATGCATGAAGGTTCAACTATCTTTTGTTGTTGAATCACTGTGTTCACAAGAAAATGTCTGCAAAGACAACCCCATGGGGACAGACATCATGATCTTTATAACAATCCACGATACCATACAGTAGTGCTGAAAAACAACTAAATGATCAGTCGATCAACAAAAACTTAATCACCAACCACTTTGATTACTGAGTAATTATTAATCAAACAATGCCAAATAGTCTCTGTTTCCAGTTTCTTACATTTATTTTCTTCTTGTCTCTATTATATATCAGCTTAAATTGAGTGTCTTTGTGTTGGTCAGACAAAATTAGTAATTTTGAAGACACTGCCTGGGCCTTCTGGGAAATTACCTAGAAATTTCTTGTATGTCAGAACAGTTTTTATTTTTAGCTACTACGGTACATTCAACACTATAGTGCAGTGCCGGCACTTGGCATAGGCGATATAGGCGGTTGCCTAGGGTGCAAAATGTAAGGGGGGGCCGCAAGAGAAAGTTTTCGACTCTGTGTGAATCAACTCTGCCCGGCTGATGTGACACCAGCGCACGCTGTGATAGTAACCATATGCACCCACCTTGTGCTGTGAGTAGCTGTGAGTCGCAGCCAGATTGTGACAGAGTAGTAGCTGATAGTTTCGCAATAAAAAAATTTAAAAACTGAGGTGGTTAAAGTACAGGAGCATATAACCAAAATTATACAACAATAATAGAAATTAATTTATCATTGATGTGAAAAGGTGCCAGGTCAGCACATTTCAGGAATTTGCTTCCCCAAAAGAATTACCCCTTGGGGATCAATAAAGTATTTCTGATTCTGGTTTCTGAGCCTAGACACAAAAGAGGAAGACTAAACTGAATGAGACTGTGTTGACTCACACAGGGATTTTATTAAATGAGAAAAGTTGATCTACAGGAGAAAACATATTTAAAGGCAATAGCTACAGAATGCCTAAGAGCCTTACTGCTTTTTATTATTTAAATTTTTTATATTTTGAAATTTTACCTGTGGCACAAATTCTGTGTTTCTCTTTATAGAAATAAAGACATTGCCACCATAAATTGATGCAGAAAAGGCAGAAATTGGTGAAGGAATTTTCACCAGAAGGCAGGAAATTGTTTAATGTTCACAATTTTCACCTAGTAACTGTTCCCTCCAGTGTTCAAATAAAACATAATCTTTTGCATTTCTATAAAAAATGTAGTTCATAAATTCACTAGTAATGATGGATGATGAAGAAAAACAGTCTCTGATTGATACATACTTTCCGGGGGAAACATTCCCCAACACCAGGTTAGGTTTGGTCTTCCAATTTTGGCTATGATGTCTGGAGGATGGCAAGTATGCTGATCACACTTAGTATTGATTACTATTGATTGCTTTTCATAAGTTTGGCTGCAGAACTTTATACACACTGCGGTGGTTAATGTCACAGATGGTTTAGGCTTGTGCACACGGGATAGGGGGGGCTACGGCTCCAACACTGCCAGGTGCAAGCCCTGCTATAGTGAGTACAAAGGAAACATTTTGATGATTATTTAGACTCAGGACAAGCTGTACAACTGGAAAAGAACAAAAACGTTTTGTAACACATCATACCGTACTGTATTGTCAAATTTTGGTATCGTACGATATCCTTTTGTAACGCACCATATATTATCATTGTATTACATCGTATTATATCAAAATGCTTCAAATCATCAAAGTGCAACAAGTACCAGGAGACCACTAGGTCTAGGAGACAATACAGATGTCATACTTTATCCCATGCTGCGACAAAACAAACCCACATCAAACACTGGTCATTGATCTCAGCGGTCAATACAAATTGAGCAAAACACCGACAATGACGACACATTTGTTATTAATGGATTAAACTGCCGTTGTCCCAGATAAGTCATCTGCACTCATCTCTTTATAACCAGCTGCCTATGTTATTTGGATACTTTCCTGCTTGCTACAGAGTCAAAACCCTAAATCCTCCAAAAAATTCACTAGCCCAGAAAGTGAATCCTGAAGTTATGCTGCAATAATCCAAACATCAAATATATTCTGCAATGCATGTGCAATATATACAGCGCTTTATCATGCGTATTGAGCAAAGGTTACCATAATATCAGTGTAGTGCAGGTATGCTGCTATTTTCCAGTCATGACTCACATCTGCTTTCCCAGCATGCTTCCTGTTTTTAACTCTAATGTTTCTTCCTCATGTTATTTTCAGTTATTTAAAGTTATTGCCCAGTTTTCTCAACTCATATCTGGGGGCTCATAACTTGACTGCTGTTACATCAGGTTGTGTGCTCCAACGAAAGAAGCTAAGGGTTAAATGAGATAAGGGTTGGAAAAGGAAATGTGTGAAAAATACTAGAATAGAATAAAGTTCTTCTTGATGAAGTGCTCAGGCAGAGAGAGTCAGCTTTAAATCCTTTTTACTTTTCTATTTTTTTTATTCTTGCTGGTTTGTCTTCTTTTAATGACACAAGTTTATCCCTAATCTTTATATGTGTGTTTTATCTGTGTTAAACTGTGTTATATAATCAAAATAATTATTCTTTTCAAATAAATTAATAATTAGGCTTACAACAGCATTTAAACAATGGATGTTTTTTTCACAAGTCACAATCCTACAGTTAGCAATTCCTGTATGTGTTGCACAACTGCTGTGATTGTGCATTTCATTTAGGTACTGTGAGAATTAAAGTGTCCTACAGATGATTATAGTGCCATGACAATGAACAATGGAAATGGCAAAACATGACATAATAAAAAAAAACTTGAGTCAAAGGCAGCAAGAAAACAAAGAGGTAAAAACTTATCATGTCAAAGCCTACTGTTAAATTTGTGACACAAATTTACGCCAAAACCCTACTGAATAACAATATATTGAACTTTATGGAATACCAGTTTTTCGTCAAACTTCTAAAACCTCTAATCAAGGGAATACAGAAACTACCAAAGCAGTTTTATTATCCCTGTACTTTTTTTTATTTCAGCAGTGTTTTAGTTCTAATCATCTAACTGTGACTTCATTTCAAACACAGGCTACTTTAAAGCTGTGCCACAGACATGTATTGGTGCCATTTGTTGTTTGCAACAGATTGCTTAATCCCTTATTATTATTATTTGACTTCTGTGCTCCACCTAAACATCACACTGTGTAATCCCTGCCACTGAAATGATCTTGTTAATATGGTGATAAAAGAGCTTAAACTACATATTAAAGTATTTGCTGTGCTCTGTCAAAGACCCAATAAGTTCAAGCAATTAACAGACTCTCCTAAGAAGTCATTCTAGTATGTAGATACCCTGTGTGGCCTTTTGCCCCCTCTTCCACAATCAATAGGCCTCTAATGCTAAGAAAAACCAGGAAACAGGTTAGTTAGGAAGTGAGCTCTAATTATTGCTCCATTTTGACAGGTGCTGTTTTCAAGCTGCCACCTTGAGAAACCCCAGTGGGCAGTGACTGTGTATACTGTGTTTGCTAGGAAATGGCCGTTGTGCAAAAGGTAGACAAGAGGTCTCGCCTCACTACAAGAAAGCAGAGTGATTTGGTAGCTGCATGTATTTGTAAAACATTTCCATGACTAGTTCAGAAACTCAGCTGTCCACCCTGAAAGAGGAAGCTTCCTAAGGCAGCAAGTTGACAGAGGCCAATCTCTGCAGCTCAAATCTACAGTCCCCTCCAAAAGTAATGGAACGGTAAGGCAAACTCCTTTGTTTTTGTTGTTCACTGAAGACATTTGGGTTTAAGATCAGAAGATGAGTATGAGACAAGAGTTCAGAATTTCAGCTTTCATTTCCTGGTATTCACATCTACATGTGTTAAACGACTTAGGACATTTTACCCTTTGTATTAGACCACAGCATTCTTAGGTGGGCAAAAGTAATGGAACAAATAATCTTAAAGTAAATATAATTTAGTATAACCCTTGCTTGCAATAACTGCCTCAAGCCTGCGACCCATCGACATCACCAAACTGTTGCATTCTTCATTTGTGATGCTATTCCAGGCTTTTACCGCAGCTTCTTTTAGTTTCTCCCTTCAGTCTCCACTTAAGGAGGTGAAATGCATGCTCCACACTTTGGTAGAGAATCATTTTGGTCTCATCAGTCCATAAGATTGTGTTCCAGAACTTTTGCGGCTCATCTCTGTACTTTAGTAAATTTCAATCTGGCCTTCCGATTCTTCCTGCTGATGAGTGGTTTGCATCTTGTGGTGTGGCCTCTATATTTCTGCTCTCTGAGTCTTCTTCCAACAGTGGATTGTGATACCTTCACCTCTGCACTGTGGAGGTCGTTGGTGATGTCACTTACTGATGTTTTGGGGGTTTTCTTCACAGCTCTCACAATATTTCTGTCATCAACTACTGTTGTTTTCCTTGGCCGACCTGTGTTGTTTGTATGTTTCATTTTCTGGGGGATGAACATTATACATTAGAAATGTATAACATTTTGATGGATGGATTTCATATGAAATAACTGAAATGTAGTACTTTACTTTTAATGCTGAATTTATAACACAATACTAACAATTAATAGGTTGTAGATAGTGTATCAATAGGTGTGTAATGTTTGCCCCAAGCAAGGCCAAATTATTTTGCCTTATTATTTTGTGTTAAAAGAAGTTTTGCGTCAGCACGAGAAAGGAGCATATCAGTATACTCACTGGAATTGCAAATGCCAAGTTGTAAATGTTGCTAACTTACCACTGTCTATTTACCTTCAGTTTAAATAAGTGAAAATCAACTTGCATCAGACATGGGGCTAAATAAAGACACTGTATTGTATTGAATTTCAGCTTTATCTTGACAGATTGTCTGCTTTCACTATCTCTCTGATCACTTGTTTTAAGTTTTAAAACAGCTGCTTACACAGCAGATGTTGTCAGTTATATGTCTTTATGTTTTGTCAGACAACTGCACAATTATTTAGTCGAGGTTGTCAAAATAGTAACAGCCCTATCAGTTATGACTGGTTTGCAACATCTAGCAGTGGATGTAGTGACCGTCTTTCGCTTTTAACATTACTTCATCAAAATTGTTGAGGCTCATTGTTGAGTGGGATGCTTTAAATCATACTGTATCATCATAAACGAGTACTGCAAGCGTTGTGCAGTACATTATACATGGCAGATCAGTGATGCTGCATGACAACGCATTCCTGAACCTTATTCCTTCATGTTGGTGAATGGTGAATGTTCATTTGCTTTTCAGTGTTTGCTTGCCTGACTGTGTACTGTGCAGGTCTGTCACTGTAGAAATGGCTGTGAGTGTGTGTTAGTGTGTGTGTCCTGTGTGACTGTTTCTCTGTCTATATATGGCAGCTCCACAGGCAGCTTTGCCTGTGTGAGTGAAGCCAGATTGATTGGGGTCGGGCATTGATTGGACAGACATCTTCTTCCTCCCTCTCTCCCTCCCTGAAAATAACACAACAGAAGCTACTGTTTAAAACACTCAGCTGTCCTCTGTCACAAAATAGCTGCCTGCCTCAGGACAGAACATGATACACTCCCAGTTAGGAGTGGATAATGGCAAATCAGCAAATATTCTGACTTTCAATGGGTGATGATTTGAGCCCTGCAACAAAGCCGACAGTACACATAAAAAATGAGCAACTGAATGAAAGTTAAAGCAATGTGCATTGTCATCCATCACTTAAATGTGAAACCAGACCCAATTTTTTTAGTTCATAAATTCAGATTCATGATATATTTAGTCAATATTTATGGTAATTAATGGGTAATGAACTATTAGTTGTTAGTCTGTGCTGGAAAATAACGAGTCATATCTGTGATAACACGGCTAGTTTACTGGATTCACCTAGCTAAAACAAATGCAACAGTCCTTCAATAAATCCTAAATTAACACATTTAAACTGACAGGTGTCTATTGTTTTGTGGTGTTTCTCCGTGGGATTGGTGTACAGTCAGCTGATCTGGTGCTATCACTTCCCCTACTTTGAAAGTCTCTACCCTTCCAGATTCAGCACTAGTTTCTCGTCCTCAGATCTACCTAATACTACCATGTAAAATAACCTTCTATGGAGTTTCCCACATGGCCTCTCAAAGTAATGATGGCACTGTTAGTACAGGTTGGAAAAGTGGGTCGGCCTCTCTGGCACAGATCTTATCCAAGTTAGGGTCTAACTGGAGGGCAGAAATGTCTTTGTTCCAATTGTAAAACTTTGCGAAAGTTACATGTGGTGTCCCTCAGGAATTTTTCCGCGGTCCCCTTTTCATCCAAACTACACAAAATTGTCATATTTATGCAGACGACACACAACTTTTCACAACTCAATGAAGGTAAAACCAAAATGCCTACTTTTATTCCAAAAACCCATAGTTTTGGTACCTGAAAAAACTTCGTAGTTCACATCTTTGTAATCATCAATCTGCTTCAATGTCTCTGATCTCAACAAATAACTAATGAATATCTACAGATATTCCGAAGTACAGCTGACTCTTTTGCAGGCCAGATACTGATTTCCCCAAGAATTAACCAAATTTTATGACATCTCAAAAGCCTCAGGAAATTCTAAGTTTGAGATATTTATGACCAGAGGTTATGTTAAAATGAGTAATGGCATGACTGATGAGGAGTGTGTGTGTGTGTGTGTGTGTGTGTGTGTGTGTGTGTGTGTGTGTGTGTGTGTGCGTGCGTGCGTTACCTTTTCTGTGGAATACAGCATTGAGGAAGTCTTGGGCTTGTCTCTCCAGCCGGCTGATCCGATGCTGCTCCTGTTTGAAGTCTTCACACTCCGACAGCACCTGGCTGCCTCCACCTCTCTCTACGCCGTACTCCTACACAGAAAAATGCATAGAGACAAATGAGTGAGTAAAGGCCTGTTCTGTCAAAAAATAAACTCCTCATATGCTCGATGTCTGGGAAGATTCTCAGTCATCCAGGTGATAGATATCCAAGGAAGGTTAAAATCAGCAGCAACTAGACATTCATTTTAATTTTGACTGTTTAATCACATCCAGGTGTAGATTTCCATAGTTCTACCCTGCTGTGTAAGCCAATAGAAGATGTGTTGTAGCTGCAGGTACACGTAAAACCATCCATCCCTTTGGCCTGAAAATGGTAGACGCTGCTCCAATTCTATAGGTGCATATATTGATTTTGAGTGTGTTGGTCTTTGCTCATAATGAAACACATTTTCACTGGCAAGAAAAATATTAATTTTTTTAATGTTCACATTCATAATTGTAGGGCTGCAACTCACAATTGTCATTATTGATTAACATGTCAATTATATCTCATTTTATCACTCAATTAATTGTGGAATAATAAAGGTGAAATCTTCAGATGTCCAGTCTAAAACCCAAACATACTTAATTTATAGTGACATAAAACAGATAAATCCTTGCATTTGAGAACGTAGAACCAGCGAATGTACCGTAAATAATGGTGATTAAAATGATTGTTGAGTATTAATTCATCAATCATTTCAGCACACATTGTTTGTGTATTTTAATGTACATATGAATTGCCAACAGCCGATTTTGTAGGTCTCTGAGAATTTTAAGATGATGTTTTAAATTGTACTGATTTACTATTTTTGGATGTATGGATTTGAAAAATCCTATATAAAAAAAAATCTTATCGCTCTACTGTGGCAATCCACAAATAATTTTGTGTTTTACAAGTGATACATAGTCTTGTCCTAAACTCTGCTCCCTCCTGCCGCTGCTTGTCAGTTCTTTGAGCCATCTGAGTGCTCCCCCAACACCACCTGGCACTTAGCATCGTCTGGTGAGTGCTAGTTACAAACTGCTGTGAAGTCACATTTTGGGAAAGGAACGGGGTGAACACAATCATTAATCAGCCAGTGCCACTGTGCAGAATAAAAAACAAAGTGTCATGTGAAAACAAGCTAATAACCAATAAAATGACACTACTGGGAGAAGTGGTGTCACGACAGCTCACTTCTCTGCTGAGGTGCTGTTGTTGGAGGCGGGCCTTTTCAAGCTGACAGCCAATCAAACGGCTTCCACAGGATAGCCAAGGTTCAGAGCCTAAAGAGGCAAGGGTCTGCTAATGAGAGATTATTATGAAAAGAACAACCACAGAGAGAGAATGTGATTTCAGCCTCTGAAACGGAGACAGGGTTAATACCAGTGTGTGTTGCGGTTATGAGTTGTAGTGAGTGTGTTGTTATTGTCTTTACAACACTAAACAGGGAACTTCAATGTTTGTCGGTCTGTTTTCATCAATGGCAAGAGTCAAAGCAACAAACGGAGATGAGAGTGTGTTTAAGGCTTTCACTATTCCTCCCTCTCTTTAGTAACCCTCTCTTTAGTTGAACCCCCTCAGCTCTCTCTGTCTGCTGGCAGTTTGCATGGCTTCAGATCAATGAATCAATTGTTGACGCCCACTGAAGCTCCTCTTGCATTTTACAAACAAGCACAGGGTAATAACAGTGAGACAGAGAGAGCTCGCGGATGAATAAAAGATGAAAACTGTGTTGAGTGCGAAGAGGAATACAATTATGGCCACTGCAAATTTTGTCTTATTATGATTTGCACACTGTAAAGTGGCTAATGTAATTATTGACCAGTCAGACAACACTGCTGAAGAGATCTCCTGTAATCCCTTTTGGGATTTGTTTAATTGATTTTGCTCTGTTGATTGATTTAGATTTTTTTTCCAAGTCGTATCTGTAATTACTGTATTACACACAGGTTCTTGTCTTGTTGTTGTCTTGCAACAACAATGTGATGTTTTGAGCGTTAGCATGGCTTTATTAGCATGAGCAGAGAGATACAAAAAAAAGGTACACAAGAGACAGTGAGAGACAGATGGAGGGGGTTGAAGGAGGTTGGTGGGGGTGTGAATCAAGGATGTTTTTAGGAGACAGATGGCTGGCCTCAGAGGTCGGACTGGGGTCAAGTTGAAAACAAGCAACTGGCAGAGGGAAGGACGCCCCCCCTAACTTCCTTCCCTCCCTCATTCACTTGTTCAGTCACATCCCTAAAATAAAGACGGAGATGGAAAACATGGACAAGAAGTCCTCATAAAGGACTAAAGAATAATGGCAAGGTAGAACATCAAGATTTCCATGACAACTGAGCAAACTCCCTCTGTGAATGGTGTGTTGAGGCCAAAAGCTCCAGAACGAGTGATGAAGTCGACCTTGAGGTGAGATTGTTTGGTCAACAACCTATGAGACGCAGAAAATAGATGTTTTGTTTCCGTTTAACAGTTGCACATGTTTATTCAAAGTTCTGCAAAATAAAACTGATTCAGTGCATCATGATAGTGATGAGAGAAGGGGGTGACATGCAACAAGGGTCCATTGCAGTTACCCCCAACATCCCTGCTCTTTTTGTTCTTTATTGCGCATTGGAGTGGAGGCCTGTAATGGTGAGTGGCTGCGTCACATGAATGCTTTGTCTACAGCAGAAGCAGGCACCACAATGTCCATAAATGTGCATATGCATGGGTGTATTAAGTAGCAGTTCAATAAATGTATAACTGTTTTATAGATACTATATAAGCCGATAAGAAACTCCGAGAAGAAGCGCTGGAGTCTTTTTACACCCATCTCACCATCTTCCTCCTTTCACATACATGCACACACCAACACATATATACACACTCACACCTCCAAATCTTTATGTCGCATTGCTTTCATAAGCTAAATTGGGGTCAAGACCATGATGCCTGAACAACACAAATACCAAGTATGCAGGAGGAGGAGGAGGAGGAGGAGAAGAGACAAAGATGTGGAGCTTCCAACAGAAGGCTGAAAAAATTGAGGCAGACAAAAAGACACAAAACGTGTGGACAAAGGAAAGAAATTACTTCACAGAAGAAATTACTTCAGAAAAGTGCTATATAGCAGAATTCGTCTCTATTCTGCAGAATATTCTTATGAAAAAATGTAATGGAAATATGCATTGATTTACATTCTATTTTGTTGTCTTATGTTACAAGGAAACGTCCTCCCCCGCCCCCAATGTTATCTATCACACACAAAAAGTAGTGAAAGCACATGTTCTTCGGTTGCTTTATTATATTTTCTACACAGTACATATTCTTAAATATGTTTGAGATGTATTTTTTTCCAAACCAAAATTAATTAGTTGTAAGCCTTGGATAAAAATAGTCTGTCAAATGCTGCATAGTTCATATTTTAAACCCAATAATTAATACTATATATATACTGTGGTTTAAAAGTAAAAAAAAAAAATCTTCATTTTCATAAAACCTAATAATTTGACATTTTGAGAATTATGCTTATTATCTTTCTTGCTGAGAGTAAGATGTGAAACTACAGCTGGGAATCAGTTAGCTTGGCATGACAAAGTCCGGGATTTGTGTGCGCCGTGGTACGGCTGCCGGAGCAAATCGCTGCCATTGTAGTCAATGCTTGTGCTCACACCAGAAGCGCCGCAGCGCGTCCCAGAAGTGTCCCAGAAGCGGCTCTCCGCTGCGCAAAGAATAGGCAGCCGGTCTATTTCAGGAAGTCAGACACAGAATCCGGTCGATTTTCAAAATAAAATACCTTGTACAGACTCCCGATAATATATATATAAACAACAAACACAGTTAAGCCAGACCAAAAAAGAACAATTTAACTATGTAGCCTTCTTACCCACTGTAGAAGCACAATCATCAAGAACAACTTACTAAATCTAAACAATTCAGCAAAATCAGGCAGGGAAAATGCTCTTATTCTGAAATACTCCATGTGGGAAATTCGGCCCTGCGGGAAACTGGGGGAAAACGGTTCACAGAGCGCTGTGATGGGTTGTAGAAGCACACAAATGACAAATAAACAACAAGTCAACAATGTGGGGCAGGCTAAACGCTCCGCCACTGAAACGCTTCTGAAATACTTCCAATGTGAGTGGACGCAGGGCTGAGGACGGGTCAAAACCGCGGCCGTGGCGTGGCGCACCCGCTGCCTGTGTGACTCCGAGGTAAGCAGGGGAAACTAACAGCCTGGGTCTCTCCAAAGGTAAAAAAATAAAATTTAAATAAATCTGTCAACCAGCACCTTTAAATTTTACTAATTACTATGTTCTCATTTGTTTAGTATGTATACACACACAGTTATCGGTGTTTCCATCGGTGGATCCACTCCTGTGTCACCCTCTACTGTACAATGGCAAGTTGTGTTTTCAAAGGGAGTTCCAGTCTTTATGCTAAGCTAAGCTAACTGCCTGCTGGTTCTCTCTCCATATTTACTGCACAGATATGAGAGTGATATTAATCCTCTCATCTAACTCTTAGTAAGAAAGCTGAGAGATAGAAGAGAAAGGCTACTTGCTGCATACAATACTATACTATACTATACTATAAAGGACAAGACAGACACTTCAGTTAAGGGCATACTGCATTTAAAAAGTCTGAGGAAAACCTCAGCCCGGGCCAGCTCGAGTCAGTTTGAACCCAGGACCTTTATGCTGTGAGGTGAAAGTGATAACACCCACCAGGTTTCAACATGAATTAAAGCCATGTAATGACAAAAGACGTCATTGCATGGCTACAAACGACGACAAAATATTGTGACATCTCCTACCTTGACTTTCTCGTGTCTTAAGCAGCAGAAAAGACAGTTTTCATCGAAGGACCAGTCAGACACTTCCTCAGGCTCGCAGTCTGGATAAGAGAGGGAGACAGAAAGAAACAGCGTTAAAGCATGACAAACTCCGAATCCAATAATCCCACAGTCAACTTGATTATAGACATTCAGCAGTCAGGGGACTTTTGGCCTATACCAAAAAAAGCCAACTTTTGAGGTTGTGGTTTTAGCTTTCCAAAATCCCAACTATACACAGTTCATATGTCCAGTCCTGTTATCAAGCAAAGTATGGAGCACAAAAGAAAGAGCCAAACGGCCTTCTTTCTCCCATTTCCCCCCCTTGGTTTTTCTTTTCGATATACAGTAGGTTCATATTTTGGTATTGTTTGCACTGTGTGTGACTCTTGTATTAGTTCAGTTTAAATATCCAGATACAGGCTGAATCTTAAAACCAGCTGTAATTCAGGTGCAGATGAATCAACAGAGTAATCCAAACACACTGTCTGTTTTCATTCAACATCCAGCAGAGAGTGACAGCTGAGGGCCCACAAACGACAACAGCAAGAGCATTAAAATTATTCACTTTTAATTACAGCCAGTGATTAAATTATAGCGATGACTAACTTTATATGTCAAGTATGCTGTGAAAAAATTAACCACTCCTGTGATTGACAGATAAGCTCAATTCACTATTGAATACATCGTTGCCTAAAGACCATCAACACTGCATGAATGCTTATGTGTGTGTGTGTGTTTGTGAAGAATTCATGCCCTAAAGCACGATTTGCAAAGAACTAATCACCCCTTTCCAAGACTGAATTCTGTTAAACATATTCAGTGGGATGAGGAAATTTACTGCTGTCTCCTGGTAGTTCAGTTGCTCATTATGAAGCTTAAACATCCTGCTTTCAGTCCTCTCTCTTTCCTCACAGCTTTTTCCTGTCTCTTTGGACTATAAAGCGGAGAAGTTTTAAGCCTACATTTTATGCATGAAAGAATGCAATAAAAGAAGAAAAATTGTAAATACATAATAATTTATTTTAGAGCAGCAAGGATTAGTCAGATAATTTATTAGTCAACAGAAAATTCTGCCCAAAACTTCCTTCCCAATTTCATTGGCGAGTTTCATTATTGGAGACTGTTCCCACCCTTTACATGCTGAGTTTCAGCTCCTCCCCTCTGGATGTCGGTTTGCTGCCACTAGGTGTAGAACCAAACGATATAGGAATATTTTTGTTCCCGCTGCCATAGAATTAATGAATAAAAATAGCAGTAGATGACACTCTTTGTTATGTATAGCATCTTATGTGTTTTAGCCAGAGAGGGCGGGCGGGTAAGGAGGGTGGGGGTTAGGGGGTGGTGGTGTAGAGGCACACTGCCATGTTCCTTTTAGAAGTTTTAGGCTTTGGATATTTTATAATGTTCTATGCTTATTGTTTGTTTTGATGTTTTTATGTATGGATTGCCGAAAGTCTCCTGTCTGCCCAAAGTTTACCCTCGGGTACTAATAAAGACACCTTGACCTTGACCTTGACCTAAAGTTTAAGAGAGATTTTACAATTTTACAAGAGTTCTTCAAGGGTCCTCTCATTTCCTATTAACCTAGAAGTGACCCTGTCCAGATTAACTTCAGTCTAACGGGGCATGTGTAGCATCCCTGTCTTGGGTTTGTGTGTCAATATGTCAGAGTGGAACCAAGTGCACTCACTATCAGTTAAGAGGACAAAGATAATTAAAAAAGAAAACGTGAAATTATAGAGACCACATAAAAGGGAATGATTAAATTTTTTTTTTTTTAAATAATTACAGATTTAAATCAATCAACATTTTCGGCAATCAACAATTCGTCATCAATGGTTGCTCATATCAGTATTTATCCTGTGCTTGTGGGCTTATGATTGATTCAGATGATGCCAACTGTCAACTGAGAATCAATTCAGGTCACTAATGTGTTACACACATTATATACATGCTTGAGTCTTCATACTTACAAAATGTAAATGCATTTGATCACCTTTTGAACTAAGAGAGAGAGACAGGAGACTGCCGTCGACTTGGTTACAGCTGAGCTGTTGCCATGGTGCTACACTTCTTTTAAAATCCCCCAGTTTGGTCCAAAACCACATCAGTAGAATGACAGAGACATATACAGAGAGAGAGAGAGAGAGGAAGCACTGAGGAGAGAAGGAAAGAAGGAGTGGGTTACAGACAGGAGGAAAAAGAAGGCAGAGTCAGCTCCACAGAGAGAGGACGAACAGAGAAACACAAGAACAAAATCAATGTGGTCACAGTATACTGTGAACATACAATACGTGTCACATCACAACCTCCTATCGCCACAGTGTCACCTGTTCAGCAGCTTAGAAGTGCAGCTGAAGCCAAGCTGTAAGTGTTCATCATCCCTGAGGATGGTGGAACACTCTCAACATCCTGGTGATGTGCTTTGTTGAATATCAATGAATACAACAACCCTGTTCACACAGGATCGCCGTTACCTGGAGACCTGTTATGAGTGTGTGATATAGGAATTTATACTTTTGTTATGGGATAGGATAAACCTTAAGTCTGTGTTTCTTGTTGCCCTTTTAGCCTCCAGAATTTCCAGCCAAAATGCAACATGCTGCCATTAATAAATTCCTCTGCAGCCTCCTTAGTTCCTGATCCAGAGGAGGAAAGACACAATTTTGAAGACAAACAAGAAAAAACAAAAAGAGAGAAGGGAAAAAAAGAATCCATCCAACAAACAAATCCTAATTTATGAGATGCCAGAAACTTAAATAGTCAGATAAACTGTGTTTGCTGAAATATGAATGTACGTTGCAGTTTACATGGTCAGCAGCTTTACATGTATACTTTACAACACAGCTAACCTTTATGCAAACTTCAGAATTTCTAATGGATTTATTTTACTGTTCTTTGCAGCTATTGATTTCGATTCCTTTCTGAACATAAAACTTGCTTGAGCAGTGTCATCTATCTCTGTGAACATCAAGTCTTTTGTCAGATGCATAAATCTACATTAGTGTAATTGTTATGACAAATATTATGAGAATTACAAGATCCTCAGTCTGACCATGTATAGCCATGCAACAATAATGTAACAATGCAAAATATGAATGCAGATTAGATGTTCAATGTGAAGGATTACACTCACAATAAAGTGAGTTTTAAGACCCTGCTAACTGATTTTCATTCCACCCAGAAATGAATGAAAACTAATGGCTATCCTGCATGCGTTATAGTAAAATATTAAGAATATGATTTGGAGTTAAGAGTAACTTAATACCACAGTGAAAAACATAGTTTCACTGCCCTTTCTAGTGGGAAACTATGGGTCTGTTGCACCTCTGACCACACACATCGGTGATACACTCTTATAATGCTTCAAGGTGTAAAGTTAAATCACTGGTGATGAGCAAAAACAAGATTTTTAGTAGCTCTTAAATCGCTTTTTAAGAAACATCCACTAAAAAAAAGTGATATGGTCCTTTTTAGAATACTTATGACTTCTGCAGTAATTAAAAGTCAGTAGAGAAACCATACAAGGTCTGCTAGGTCACACACTATTCATTTTCCATCTGAACCCATTTTTCCCTATGTGTGTGTATATAAACGGCAGGTCATGCACGCTTTGTTCCTTATAATACAGCAGATCACATCTCTGGCTTTTCCAATCACAGTCCACTTTCCGCTCACAGTCCTGTGACAGTCTATTACTATCTCTCTCTCGCTCGCTCTCTCTCTCTCACTTGTTCGGTCTCTGTCTCTCGCTGTAATGAAAAGGTCAAAGGTGAGCTGTGTGTTTAACCCTGTGGTTGTGCTGCTTACAATAACCCTGGGAAGGCGCCAATTAGCTCCAGTCCCACTGCTAACGTGACCCCCCTTTTTCACAGTAGTCAAGTTTCTGTGTGTGTTTGTGTGCGAGTTTCTGAGCTCAAGGAAGATGTTGACTTTGTTTACATGAATCTTTTAGTGTGTGTGTGTTTCTGCTCAACAGTCAGTGTGTTTACATACACTTAAATAATCAGGTTACTGTTACTACAGCAAGAGATTCTGCATTTGCTAGAAAGACTGATCATGCGGTCTGTACCAGTGGTACTTAAGGACCTAAAGATTTTATGGACAAATGACACCGGAGTTAAATCAAGACAACTAACTAATATAATGCCCCAGGGTCAGCGTGAATACATGAATACAACATGGTCCGATGGCAACCTTTAGCCTTTTTTCTTGACGATGACTCACTGCAACAAAAGCAACAAGCATGTATACCCCTTCTTGAAACAAAAGTGCCACAATGAAATCAGGGAAATGTAGGAAATCACTAATCACTGATGTAGAATAAGATAAGGAGGGAAATCAAAATTGATGCACAGCTTTATTTTTTCTTCAATGTGTGAATGTTTAAATGCCACAAAATGTAACTTTAATGTTGTTACACATTTATGAAATCTAGTGTTGTTAGTGTGTCTTTGTGTGGTGTGAGTTTAAAATATATAAATAAATAAATATAAAATAAGCAATGCCTGCTTTACAAAGGAGATAAAAACCATGACCCCAATTGGGAAAAGGCTAATGGGTCAGGGGTCAAGGTTAGGGCTAGGGCATCGTTAGGCAAGTAGTGGTTATGGTTGGTAAGTGTGATGCATGAGTGAAAATTATGTACAAAAGTCTGAAATATTCTAAAAATGCCTCAAGTTGGTGGGGGAGGGGTCACATGACTCCACGACACCATGTTGACCCAGTTTTTTGTGTGAGTGAGGGAGAGAGAGATCAATCTGGGTGTGTAGGTGGGACTGGTCTTTGCTAAATTTATTCTCATGATATCCATATCAAAGTAGTAATCCTTTGAGAATAATAATAATAACAATAATAATAATAATAATTACTCATTTAGCTGACGCTTTTATCTAAAGCAACTTACAATTACTATATATGTCAGAGGTTGCACGCCTCTGGAGCAACTAGGACATAAGTGTGTTGCTCAGCATCACATTGGCGATTGTCGTGGTTGGAATCTAACCCAGGTCTTCCACATCACCAGAGACAGTGATTCAGATAACAGTTTTGGTTACCTCTACCATATTGTATGGTATATGAGTGCATGTTGTTTTTCCTTTTCACAGGGCCTGTGAAATGCTGAAATTCTATGCTGCCTAAATAACATAAATACATACCCAGACACACAAACCGCACACACACAAAATGAATTTTACATCAAACATACATGAAATTACTTTACATGTACATTTACTCATTTGGCAGATGCTTTTATCCCAACGACTTACATGTGAGAACCAGAATTGCATCATAGCTGTACAGATGGCGACGTCTATCTGTCCAAAACCAGTGGTAAGGATCTAGGAATATCAAAGTTGTGTGTATGGGCCTTTCCAAAACTAGACTCTCGCCACTTCCACTCCGACACGGAGTGAACTCTGGTCGAAGTCACCCTCCAGGCCAAATCGAGCACCCTAACCCGCGTAGGGTTTAAATACAGGGACAACTTTCGGACAAACTACCCTCTCTCCCCAGCGTTACCGCTGCACTCACTGCTATAATACGTGTATCAAATAAACAACAGTGGTATTAAGATTCGGGATTGATGTTGAGGAAAGTGTGTTCTTTGCAATAACGAAACTGAAAGCATTTGTCATTCATTTTGTGTTCGTGTCGAACATGACTTTATATATTTACGAAAAATACATATATTCTTTTATGAAAAGATTGATATTCATTGTAAGAAAAGAAAAGCCTATATATTTGAACCTCTTTAAATTGGACATTATGAAAAATGTTACCTTCACAAATACAACATTTCAATATAAATCATATGGGCTACGTTGTTAAGCTGTGAAAGGTGACGTGACAATGTTAGTGTAGTTAACACATGTGAACCGGCGAAGTCACACGGAACGCAAAATGAAAGAAAGGTCCCCCATCGCGTAGCAAAGGGTGTTACACATCTTCAACAAGCCAGCATCGGTGCTGACTCGGCATTTGAGGGTTTAACAACCCACTACCACCCAGCCCTCATTGGTTTCGGATGGCACTCAATGTTCGCATGAACGCGTATGTAGGGAGAGGGAGTAGCAAGCAGTTTTGGAAAGGCCTTATGTCTGTTCATGTCTCTTTCAAGCAGCAAGAGGTTTTTCCGCATTGGATCCTCATCTTCTGAGCGTCATTTTCTCTGATCAGCCTCATCTTTTACAGTGTAAAGCAGGTAAACTAAACACTAATCCTAATGTAAAAAATACTTGTGTGAATACAATTATTCACATAAAATTCTATCTGTGGTGTTGATCTGTCACATTAGCTGATGTTGGCTGCCGACTGTAGAAAAAAGACAATCTTATCTTATCTTATTCTCATTTAGCATCTTAACTAGAATCAGAACATCTCTGCCCACTTGAGACCAGTCAAAGAGATCACCAGAAACCAGCTTCATCAGCTAGTGCCATCTGTCAGGTTTTTTTACAGCCTGAGTTTGGCATAAATTAAACATGGATGTTGCATAAATTAATCATATTGTTATGTATTCTAAGCCTGCTCTTTTGCTCATTGTCACTTGGGCATATTTACCCAACATCCATTCAGGCTCTCATACTTAGTTATAAGTTAGATTTGAGTTTCTGCAAATAAAACATGTATCCATGCATGTTAAATAATGGTTATGATTGATCTAACAAGGTACAGGCAAAATGTCCATACAATGATAATAGAAAATAATGCCCTAGAGGCCATTTGCAGGAAGCCATATATATGTATATATGTATACATGTGTCTGCCAGTGGTGTTTTTTAAGAAATGAAATATTTTTTGTTTTTCTGTGGATTTACAATACTATAAATAAGTATACACAATAAACACAGATAAACACTCACACCTTTTTACAGATTTGTTTGTTTTATTTCGTTCACGTGTGCAGTTTCTTGTCATTACTGTTTTATCAGCTGTAATTCTGTTTTGATTTGTAAAAGAAAGATTGTTGAACATGAAATTGTGACTTGCAATCTGACCAAGTGTGTTCTTAATTAGTATGAATTTGTATTTGTGAATGCTTATTTGTTCACGTTTACCTTGGAAAAGGGTGATGTCTTTGACTACTCCCGGCCCAAACAAGCCTTCCAAGATGCTTTCAAAGCCTGTGAAAAGAGATTTGATGTTAATGCAAGCTGACATGTTACCATCAAAACAGCAGATATAATACTGTGTAAAACAATAACTGTTAAGAAAAAAAGAAATGTCAGACAGGTTAAAATAACTCCAGCATTATTTTCAAAACGCTGTATTTACATTATTTTTTTTAACCATTATTTTATCTTATCTTCTGAAGGGTGAGGAACATAAATTTTGTTATTTATGTCGTTTTCCTGCAGGACAGATTTTGCTGATGCACAGCATCCACTGCTCACACAGCAGCACCAAAAAACCTAAACATCAACAAAAAAACCCCCAAATAAAACTGAATGAATAAAAATAGCAGCACAAAGCAAAATGTAATCTTGAAACCTTGTGATAAATTTAGTGGACATAAATAAACATTTACATATATTTTATGAAAACTGACAACAATAGTAAAATACATGATTGTGTGTACACAGACGCAAATGTACATAAATTCAGACAAAGGCATGGAAGCTCTTTTAACCCCCCCCCCCCCCCCCCCCCCCACAGACACACACATGTGAGAGCACAAAAACACAAAAATACATATGTATACACAATAGACAAGGCTATGAAATGGCTTTTTGGACACACATACAGAAACAAACAGGAACACACTGAAATATCTTCAAAGACGAGGCTGAACAAGCGCTTATTATGCATCTACACACATTAGACAGACGAACACACACACACACACACACAAATATGTGCGTCTATACAGACAGGATGTGAAGCATTTGTAAGTCACTATGCACAAAAGACACACACACACACACACACACACACACACACACCCTCGTCTTTCTTTCCAGCTCTTAAGGCAAATGAGCGCTTTACCTTTAATACACCAAGCTAATGTCACTCACTTTTTATTAACTGTAAATACCCTCGCTCTGCTGTTGCTTGGTAACCACATACAGAGAAACAACTACATATTGCAATTTTCAACCTAACCACCCCCCTTCCCCCACCCACAACCCCCACCTCCTCCTCCTCCATTAAATGGAAATGGAGGCAGACAGAGAGAAACAGAGACAAAGACACATGTAGGTGTGTGTGTGTGTGTGTGTGTGTGTGTGTGTGCGCATTTTTAGTACAGAGTGGAAAGGTTAACGCAGAACATATACTCTCTCTCACTCACACACACACACACACACACACACACACACACACACACACACACACAGTTCAAGTGTAGCCACTTGTCAGGCCACATACTTTACAGTGCAGGAATAAACTAGCTTGATAAACCACAGACTGGGTCAAAGGAGGTCAAAGATTCAAGAACTGTAGCACTTTCTTTAAAGGTCTCAAAAAAAAAAAATCGAATGAGTTATGAATCCAAAAAAAAACAAAAAACAAGTGACCTCCTAACTTCCAGATCTGAGATTTGAGAAAAACACTCCACAGTCTGTAAAAGGTAGGACAGGTTGTGTTTTACATTGTGTTGGCACTGCACTCCAGAACACTAGATTTGAAATGAAGCAGTGAGTATGAGAACAAAATGCTGATGTTCAGCTTTAGTTAGTGTTGTGTTTATGTTGACATCAGATGAACAGTGTAGGAATCACTGCATTCTGTATACGCAGTCCTGCAACTTTTGTGGACAGGAAGTTATTTGTTAGTAATTATCTGATCAATCTCCCGCTGAAATACCCTAAGATGTTGGGTATATGCATAAATATGGCTACAAAGTTAAACACCTTTAAATTAAAGCTGAAACTCAAAATTTAAAAAACAACATAGTTAAGAGATTATTTAATTATATTCATTTGGCATAGGTTTTTTTTTTTTTCCAAAGCAACTTTGGAACTGGAAATTATTGGCCTACCCACTCTACCATTTACAGATCCACTGTGCTGAACAACAACGTCGAATGAAATATTTGTTACTGACTGCAACAATTTGTTACTGTCTGAATACACTTAAATGTCATTTCTTTAGTAACAGCACGTTGCTGCAACAGCACATTCACATCCTGTGGACATTAATTAAACGACTAGGGAGGAATTCAAAACAAGCATGGGAGGACTTTTATAGGCTATAGCACAAAGATCGAACTCATGTCGAGGTCAAACACAAGCTGCAGTAATTCAACAAATCCTTCTCAGTCAGCGCACTATTGACAGGAGGCAGTGTTTTGCTTTACCCTGCCAACTAAATCTGGAAACACACCTGTGCTGTCTGCTCTGATAGATCAACACACAGAAGATGCACTTAGAATAGTCCAATGCTGAATAGACATCCAAATTACCGAACAAAATCCCAATTTAACTTGCGATATTACAGATGTACAGTAAATACAGTCTCAAAAACTCACTATTGTATTGAATCACGGGAGTCACTACCAGTGCCAACCCTGTCAGTTTCAACACATCTTTCATTGCTGCCACTTTCTAACAGTTCAGTATGAAACACCAGTATGGTGCATTTAAGTCATATTGTCCTGGGAAAAGTGTGTGTGCGCGAGTGTGTGTGTGTGTGTGTGTGTGTGTGTGTGTGTGTGTGTGTGTGTGTGTGTGTGTGTGTGTGTGTGTGTGTGTGTGTAATCCCTCATTACCAATTCTTAGTCTTTTCAGCTTGTTGAGGCTTGACGGCAGAAATATCTACACTGTGTTATCCTTTAAATTCCAGGAAGACCTATCATGTGGTGATGTGGTAGACACATGAATGCCCACACGCACGCACGCACAAACAAACAAACAACACAGAGGGGTCTGAGCAAGGCAGTGGGGAGCTTGAGTGGGTGGATCACTGGCTGCTAAAAGTCGATTTTTTTTAAATAACATTGAAAGAGAAAATTGAAAAAAGACGACATCTGCTATTTCACAGAAATATATATGTGTTTTGTGTACAAAAAAGGTAATGTTGTTCTCTTTTGGGACTACAGACATTGCACAAATAAGTCTTCAGAAATCAGTTCATTAAAGTTAATCAGCATAAATTAAACCTGTCACACATGTATTCGTCATATTGACCAAATCTCCTCTGACGGGAAGCCAAAATTATTCTTTTCTCATCCTGTTTCCTCTTTTGTTCAAATCAGTAGTACTGTATACTGATGGTGGAAACCCTCAACACTCACCACAAAGTCCCCTTAAACCTGCACATGCAAAATTCATGTGGCCTACAAAGGCAGCTTTGATAACAAGAAAACTGAAGCTTCAAAGAATTTTCAAAAGCTTCATTTTTTCATCCTCTCCAACTGCCAATATGCACAGAAATGCAGCTCTCCTTTCAAGCCAGGGGAAAATAATTAGGGTTACAGCGCTGCAAACTGAGAAATCAGCATTCAATGTCAAAGTTACACGGGCCCCGTGTTCTTTGGGCCACAAGATGGAGAGTGTTTTCATATTTAAAGTGACAGTTAGTGACAAACGCATCTCCAGCTGCGGCCAGTGCAAAGTACAGGATGACTCCCTGCGAGGCAGAGGCCACGATTGGACAGATGAGATCGAGGATGTGATAGGGCAAATCAGATTAGGGGATGTGATTGGCTAGATGAGATAACAGTGACAAAGTCTCAGCAGCCACAGGCAAAAACCTCCAGAAATGTAGGTCAGTTAGTGAACACACTATGGGCCCAAAAGCGTTCACACATGACATGGTAGAGAGAGACCACACACAGTGTGTTGTGCAAAAATGAACGTGAATATAGACACGCACATAGACATGCACACACACACAGATCGGTCCCCAATCTTTGAAACCTCCACTGTGTCACTTTGTTTTGCTTCAGCATCACAGCCAAGAGCAGCGTGACACAAACTTAGACTCACACACACACACACACACACACACAAAATCTACACAAATACATTCATGGAGGGAATCAAGCTAATCCACATCTGCAACAGAAAAATAACAGTAAAATGAAAACTCAATGATGGAGATTGGAGCTAATTAGGATATGGAGATTCGGTGTGTGACATTTAAACATCATTTAAATAATAAAGCAGAGGCGGATTATGTAAACACACACGTGCCTGACAAATTTAGTATTTAAGCACATCTTTCATCTCATAACTGGTTAGTAGCATTTTAAGCTGAATAGTATTTATTTATTGGGATTTTCTGATGTGTTTATGAATTGAGGACACCTAAAACCATCCAATATTATCCTATTTCAGACCTGCATTTTTAATCCAACCTTCACCACCTACAAAAGTAAGAAAGTAACATTCCTGAACTACATGTGTAGACATGTCAATGTGCGCCATCTACAGGTAAAGAAAGTAATACCATAGCTGCTTTAATTTGCCACTCAAACCACCTGCAGGCAATAAATATTACAACAGCCAAATGTAGAATCCATTTTATTTTTTACAATCCAGAATCACACATTTTGGGAAATACAAATATGTTCTCCAAAGGTTAATCTCAGTGTGAATGATCAAATCAAATCACTAGTATTAAGAAAATACATCTAGACAACAGACACGGATGATACTGTTATTTGTGGGTTTTTAAATCTTGCTAAACACTTTTTTGAGTTAATACATAATACATTATCAACTGATCTGGTCTAATTCTGTAGTTCAAGAAAACCCTATTATTCTAGACACCCCTCCAAAAAAATCTATGGAATTACAAAATTATGAGGCAACATCACTCACCCCCTCCTCCATCACCCCATGTTTCACTGCAGACAAGTATGCAAGTATACACAGAGCTACAGCTTATTCTATAAATTGTGGATGGCTACCAGTTGTATCTAGTCGAGTCTAGGATCTAGTTATTGAAACAGCTGAAATATTAAGTCAGGGGGAAGATAGAGGAACACTGGAACAAAGACCTAAATGTCAGGGGGGTGGGACTGAGATTAGTTGCTGGGTACCATAAATACAAATATCGGCCAGACCAATTTATCAGCTGGGCTCCTGCAGAGACCAAACATACTAGCTGTGGACTGTGCAAGATGAAAAAGAAGAAGACCCATTAGCAATGCTAGATTTTTCAGCCTCAGTGTGGACAT